GTCGACGAATGGCGGTGGCCTCGAAGACGGCGCTAGGCCCAGGCTTCGGCGGAAGCTAGAAGCTAGAGTTTCGGACACAACGCGGCCTCCACGTCATCTGCAACTGCACGAGCTTTGAGAATCCACATGTCAAACAAGCCTTGGGTGCTCAGCCGCTTCCATCCATGACACCAGTCTACTGCACAATGCTGCTAAGCATCCGTATCCATTGAAAGTGCATTGTGATGATACCTCGGCAAAGCTCTTGGGCACCTGCACCTGCAAGGCATGAAAGGATCGTGAACAGATCTTTGACATATGAAGTGTCAGGTTTCAATCACAGCTACCTGCAGTCACGAACCTTTAAGTCAACAATGCTAAGGGCAACAGAAGTACAGTAGGAAGCAGGGTAAACCTACACTCCAGTCGCCGTGCAGCTCAAAGTAAGGCGGACATTCATACACGGGCTCCAGTAAGTCCATCAAACCCGTACCCAATCATCATGCTGCAATTCTTCAAGGGTGCCCGATCAATTCTGTCGGTCACTTGTGTCTTTTTTTGGGGGGTCGCTTCTGTCTTTTATTCTGCTGTCGCTTCTGTCTTTTTCCTTGTTCGGAAGCAACAGTCTGGAACAAAAGGTGCCTTGGTAGGACCTCACCGCGCTCAGTTTCAGGCCCGGTAAATGCACCTGACAACGACTGTAAATCTCGGAACCAAACAAACAAAAACCTTCTCCTTTTAGGAATTGGGCCTTCTTTCATTAGGGTTTCGGTCTGGCTTTATTCCTCCAGGGCTTCGCTCTGGGTTTAATCTTTTTACGGTTCATTAGGGTCTCGGTCTGGGCTTACTCCTTTTAGGGTATCGGTCTGGGCTTACACATTATCGGGCTTGGGCCTGGATTTACCCCTTTTCGGGTTTCGGCTTTCTTGCAAGTTTATTTCACCTCTTTAAGGTTTCGGGGTCGGTTTTATTACTTCGTTTAGATTTCAGGGATTCGGCGTCGGCCTTTGTCCTAAGATTTCGAATTTGGTTTACTCCTTTTAGGACTTTGGCCTGGGTTTCGCCTTTTTTCCTTGATTAAGCATTGGACTTTCCTTCATTATAAGGGTTTCGGCCTGGGTTTACTCTTTTTAGGGCTTCGGGGTCCGTTAACTCCCTTTAGGGATTGGGCCTTCTTTCATTGAGGATTCGACCTTCTTTCAATAGGATTTCGGCCTGGGTTTACTCCTTTTAGGGTTTCGGCTTTCTTGCAAGCTTACCTTTCACTTCTTTTAAAGTTTCGGGGTCGGTTTACTCCGTTTAGGTTTTAGGGTTCCGGCTTGGTTTTTTTCCTTAAGGTTTTGGTCTGGGTTTACTATTTTCGGCCTTCGGTCTGGGTTTGCTCGTTTTAGGGTTTCGGGGTCCGCTTCCTCCTTTCTAGGGATTGGGCCTTCTTTCATTCAGGATTAGACCTACTTTCACTATAAGGGTTTCGGCCTGGGTTTTTCTCTTTTTAGGCTTTCGGGGTCCGTTTGCACCTTTAAACGTATGGGCCTTCTTTCATTGGGGTATCGGTCTAGGCTTACACATTTTAGGGATTCGGCCTGGGTTTAGCCCGTTTCGGGTTTGGCTCTCTGGCAAGCTTACCTTTCACTTCTTTTAGTTCCGGGTCGCTTTACTCCGGCCTTCTTTCCTTAGGATTTCGAATTGGGTTTACTCCTTTTAGGGCTTTGGCGGGTTGATTCCTTTCAGGGTTTCGCGGTCCGTACACTCCTTTTTAAAGCTTGGGCTTTCTTTCATCAGGGTTTCGTTCTGGGTTTACTCCTTTTAAGGCTTCGGCCTGGGCTTACTCCTTTTAATGTCTGGACCTTGTTTCATTAGGGTTTCGATCTGGGTTTACTCCTTTTAGGGCTTCGCTGTGGGTTTACTTTGTTTTGGGTTTCGGGGTCCGTTTACTCTTGTTGAGGACAAGGCCTTGTGTCAATAGGATTTCGGTCTGGGTTTACTCCTTTTGGGGCTTCGTTCTGGGTTTACTTTGCAGGCTTCGGCCTGGGTTTGAAAGAGCTTACCTTCCATTTCTTTTAGGGTTTCGGGGTCGGTTGAATCCGTTTTTCTTTCAAGGTTTCGGCGTCGGCCTTCTTTCCCTAAGATTTCGAAGTGGTTTACTCCTTTTAGGGCTTTGGCTTGGGTTTACTTCTTTAGGGTTTCGAGGTCCGTTTGCTTTGTTCAGGGATTGGGCCTTCTTTCATTAGGGTTGCTGTCGGGTTTACTCGTTTTGCGGCTTCGCTCTGGGTTTACTTCTTGTAGGGCTTCGGCCTGATTGGACTACACATTAGAGCTGCGTTGCATTGGGCACAATGTGTTCGTATACGATCTGTTTGGTTGACGGCAATGCTAGCGACAACCACAATGAGCATCTGTTCCACACGGCACTGTATTTGCTCCGCACTCTGGCTGTTGATCGGCCCACCACACCCAGCATGTTTGTTCGTGATTTCGATGCTGTTACAAAGCAAGCTTTCCCATCTGATTCCTCCACGGATACTTGCATGCTGTGCAGCATGATTGTCTCAGAAATTCTGCCCCCAACCCCAAGCCCACCAGTGGCCACCCAGACGAGCAACAATGAGCA